TTTTTTAATAAATAATAAATTGTTTTTGAAAAGCAATCCTAAACTCTCCTAACTTTTTGTTGTAATATACCGACAATAAATAGGATAACTACTTGTTGTTGGTTTATGTTTTACTATAATCCAAAGAAAGGGATATTACGATTTAAGAGAATCAATAATTCTTAGAGTATTTTTAATTGGAGTTTTTTCTAAAGCTTATTACTATTAGTTTTATTTATTTATTTTAAGCATTTATTATCATTGGAGCAAATAACTTTTTTGTTTTTGTTATTGACCACTCAATATATATTGAGTGGTCAATATAGTTTAAAGCTTTGTATATCTAAGCCCTCCTTTAGTTATATATTATTTCATTCCCATAACTATATTTTAGTTTTAATTTATTTGTTATTTCTTTACTAATTAATTATTTTTATTAAATATTTAATGATATTTTATTTATGAATTTAAATTTCATAACGTTTCTATAAATATTTTCATTTGTTGTGATATTTTAAGTATGATGCATGTTTAAAAATGATTAATTAAATGAGAGGGTTCTTTATTGAATAATTTAGATAAACGAGGATAATTTAGTTAAATTTAAGATAAAAGGTATCTAAAGAGTTTACTCTTGACGAGATCATTTTATTAAAGCTTAATTTTTATAGAACGATAAATTGTTAATTATTTTAATTCGTGATATAATTAACGGTTAGAGATACTCTTATTTACACCAATACCATCTTCTATTTATGTAATACCATCTTCCATTTATGTCATGTACAACTCACGCTTGGATCCACCACAAGATAAGAAAACAACATCCAATCACATCTCTTTTGAGATCTACCATTTATACCCTTTCGTATTCTATAAATATTTTTTTGTCCACATAAAAACAAGGATATATTTCTTTTATAAAACTTTATATAGACAAAATTAGACAATCAATCCCGTGGTTTGCATGAACTAACTAGTTTATGACAATTATCAAAATATCGACGTTTTTAGTTTCTTATGATTTATACCCTTTCGTATTCTATAAATATTTTTTGTCCACATAAAAACAAGGATATATTTCTTTTATAAAACTTTATATAGACAAAATTATACAATCAATCCCGTGGTTTGTATGAACTAGTTTATGACAATTATCAAAATATCGACGTTTTTAGTTTCTTATGTGGTTGAACATCATGTGGTAAAAATCTATTCTATTATTTTTAATTTAGTTTTAGACTTTTTTTTTTAATATTTATAACAAATAAAAAAAGAAAATAGGTCAACCCACCACCAACCTTAACTTCATCTACCCTCAACTTTCTCTCTCTCTCTCTCTCTCACACACACACACACACATACACACTTGAAGAACAACACCGACTTCATCAACATCTTTGCAACGCTACACGGGATGACACATAAGCAGTACCACCAAAAATTGTTTCGTTACCTTTATACTTTGTATCACTCCTTGTACATGCACCCGATGAATCAACGTCATAGGTACTAAATTACATACTTGGTTGCTCTCGACACCATGTGATCTATTGACATAGATAAATTCCAAATAGAAAGTTCCAAATACATGGCAACCCCGATTTCTTAAACTCACTGATCTTGGTGAGAGTAGGTTGATAACCCATCTCATTGAACATATGAATTACTTGTTCATTCAAGACTTTGTAAAACGGTTCACAATTAGGGATGTTCAAGATTTGGGCGAACAACTTCTTTGACAGTCTGAACTTCTTGTCATTCGTCAATTGAAAAGTAACAATCATTATGGTTTTGTTGTAAGTTGCAGTAGAACTAGGCAAAGATAGCTAAGACATTGGAACATCAAAAGAGTTGAACATGGCAGTAGACAACACAAAACTCTTGAGAGCCATAACGAGCATCTGTAATCCCTCCGGATAAATACTTTCATCGCCTTGAACTTGAAAGTTTGTGCTTTGAATCTTCATCAATGGTTGAGACGAAACATCTTTTGTGGTTTGCGATTGATGAGCAGCCATGATTAGGGTTTGGAAAAGAACTTGAAGAAATAGAGGATATGATAGCACAAATCTTTTGAGAATAAATTGTAAGCGTAAAATTGGAATGTATCCCCAAATCTCCTTTTATATGTAACCACAATTTGAATCCCAAATGGTTAACATTCATAGACTTGCCACGTGTTCCTTGAAAGTTGTACCCATATCCGTAAAACTCGCCATGTCAGGAAAAAGGGATGAGCATTGTACCCTAGAAAAGCACACATTAACCAAACCGTCACATCACACGTCGTTTCGAAAGCACCCAGTGGATAAGAACCGTCACAAACCTTCGGAATGGAGGTAAGGCTCTTTCACTTTTGGGTTTCAAAGCGAAGTCATGTGCCAGACTTTTGAAATCATCAGCCTGAGTTGGTAATACTCAGAACCTCAAGGATTTCGTGAGTGCATGTGTGCCAATAAATAGATAAGAAGCAAATATAAGAAAATTTGGATCTGTGATGTCGAAAATAAAAATTTCGACATAAAGGCAGTTAGATCCCAGGCAAAGATCGATTCGTTAATTATCAAGAGAGATAATCAACAGCTTGTGTGGTTTCCCGTGAAGTACAATCGAAAACTTATAGAGAAGTATCGAAGGACTTCTTTTATCAAGTTTCGAAGGTGGTTTAAAATTTCGTTACAAAGCACATCTAAACATAAGAGTGACAAGTTGTAAACGAAATTACCTGTTTGACCAGTGTAGTCAGTGACAAGTAGGCTTTGGAAAATTTATTAAGTAACTAAGGTTAAGAATGACACTCATACAGAAATCATATTCTTCAAACCAAAAGTATTCTTGAATCCTGTTTGGTAACGAATGTTGTGGGTTTCAAACATTTGATCAAGATTACTACAAAAGAAAGAATATGATTTTGAGTATCGGAAATTGGTACTGAAACAAAAGTTTCGTTAATATCTGGAACAAAGTTCCCCGTCAATTCCTTATGTTTCGAAAGTTTGGGTTTCACTTCCATCACGGTCTCATGATGTTAGATCATAAACACAGAGATTTGATATGTCTAGATCCTGATTGGTTTATACCAGAAATCTCTTGGACATATGTCATTGTGTGTGATCGTGAAAGAACTTTAGGATGAAAAAGATTGGTTTAAAGATACGGAACTACCACTTATATTTATGGACCAAGCAGAAAACTCTAATCTCAAATGAGTAGAGTATGGTAGCTCAATGACTAATGAGAATATAGCCTAGTTGGGAAGAATCCTCATAATGAGAGATTCATTAAGGCTTCGAAACCCATTGAGTCTTGGAGGCTTGGATCGACATGCTGCAACATGCTTCTAGGGACATCCTAACTAGGACATAGTTTCGAAAACATACCTTTCCCTTAAGCAGCAAACATAAACCACCAAAATTTTTTAACCGGAAGATTGAAAAGACAAATAAATTTGATTATTATTCAACATGGACTTAGAAGCTACAAAGTTAATCAACTCAACAAAGTTGATATCATTGGTTGAATCGACACCAACACATGTGTAATATGGAACAATATAATACATGGAGCCTAATATTCGCTTCAATTGTCCTCCACCACAAACATATATTCTAAAAATACTGATTATATAAATCATTATCAATATTATAAATGTAAATTTGGAACTCGAAACAAATCCAAAAAGCATAAAAGAAGTAAACAAATGGCCAATAACTCATAATCTAGACCCTTTTTTAGTCCTGAATTATGTACATTCTTGAATGATTTTATGTAAGTCAGGATTATACAATGTCATTTCAGAACGTTTCTTGTTAGATTCTAAAATACCTTTACCGCTTTACGTTGAATCTCATCAACTCGACAACAATTATAAGTAGTTTATAACTATAACTATGGTGTTCCGGACAAAATAATTATTTTTCAAATACAATTTAAAAAATAAATAAATAAATAACATCGTGCGCAAAAGGTACTTTAAAGTTTAGAGTAAATTACACGAATGGTCCCTATGGTTTGGGGTAATTTGCACGTTTGATCCCTAACTTATTTTTTTAACTTGGAAGGTACCTACTGTTTGTTTTTGTTGCGCGATTGGTTCACGATTGGTTCCTGTCTTACCTAAAAAGACTATTTTGCCCTTGATTTTTAATTTATTTAAATAAACACACCCACAACATTATTTCCATCTCACCTCACCATACCTTACCTACCTCACCTTATTTAAATAAATTAAAAAATCAAGGGCAAAATAGTCTTTTTAGGTAAGACAGAGACCAAACGCGTAACAAAAACAAACTATAAGGACCTTCCGAGTTAAAAAAAAAAGTTAGGGATCAAACGTGCAAATTACCCCAAACCATAGAGACCATTGGTGTAATATACTCTAAAGTTTAATCGATACCCCCCTTATATTTTGTTGTTAAAAAAAAGTCCCCTATATTCTAACTTACATAATTTTATTTAATTAGAAAAGTTGTATATAATATAAAAATTAAAATAGAGATAGCGAAATGTTCGGATGTTAACAACTGTCAATATGTTATTACAATAATAATTAAAGAATTACAAAGGTTAAGGATAATTTGGGTATTTCGAAGGAGTTTCCCAACGTTCGGTGTTCATTTACTTTCACACGCCTTGTGTAACCCAACAGATTATTATTGAATAAAACCACCGTAAGAAACCCTAGCTATATTTTCCGGCAACCCAAAATTCCGTCAACAAGGTTTCCTTACTGAGTGACCATCTTAATCTCCAACGATTAGCCATGTTTATTGTCGAGAAAGCAAACTTATCTTCCCATTTTCGATCAATCAAGAAAAAAGCACCGCATGTTCCCAAAAACTACCAACACGCCGCTCGTTCGTTTGATGAAAAGGTAATTCTCCTTCTGAAAACCCTAGATCTACCGACGAATTCCTCAAATATCAGTTTATCTTGGCTATCGGCCGCAGTTTCGTTTCTCTCAACTGTTCATTCCGAAGCGGAGGATCAGATCTCGAATCTGAAATCTGAAGCGGATGATTATCAGGTTTTGTATATGGAATACAGTCTCAAGGTACTTGATCTGTGTAATTTGTTTTCGTCGGCGGTTCAAAAATTGACCGACCGACGTCTTTTGTTGAATTTCAGCCTTCGCTTGCTTAACTTCTCAGATCAGATTCCATCGTCTGAGAAATTGAACAAGGCAAAGGATTCTCTAACCAAATCTCTTAACAACACACAAGAATCTGTAAAGGAGAAAAGTCTCCGCACCAAGGCTTTGATCGAGGAGTTGACAGTACTTCTCGGTAAGCTGCCGCCGAGCAAGTCGAACACCGGAAGAGATCTGATCCGTCGCTCGTTTTCCGCTCTCGGAGTCCTGACTGTTTTCGTCGGAAGCGTTTTGGTTACCGTCTTGTACGGGGAATCCGATGTAGCTAAGCTCTCAGTTCCGGTTGAGTTCCTCTGGGCCGACTCAGTCAACGGTCTGCAGACTCAAATCTTTGACCTGATAAAGCCGAAGCAAAATGCGGTTTTGGAGCTTGATAACATCGCAAGCCGGGCGGCGGTAGTACTCGATCTCCTCCATGTCTTTGTTTCCGACGACGGAGATAAAGTCGACGGCAAGGTTCGTTTGGAGGACGGCGTAAAGGAGCTGGGAACGGCGACGAAGAAGTTCTCGGATGGTGTAGATACGTTGACTAACGGAGTTAACGGTATGTTTCGCACTGTTTTGAACACTCGTAACGGCCGTTTAGATCTTTAGTTGGTGGGATTAGTGTGGGTCCATTGTAAATGTTTATACGTTTAGATGGATAGATAAGATGAAGTATTAAAAATATAAAATCAGTAGTAGTGTATGTTTTACCTTACGTCGTATGTGGTAAAAGGCTTGCAAAAATGTGTGGGGTTGAAAGTTTGAATATGGACAAAAGTCTAGTAATACAAGTTGTGTATATAAAAGTTTATTTTATTCGCGATTTAAGAGCTTTGAATTTTGATTATATGAATAAAAAACTGTGACAGCCATCACACAACTTCACAAGAATCAGCTGTAGACAAAGTAATATTGTTGAAAGCATTGACTCATGATCATGACTTAATTTTTGATTTAACCAAGATCAACAATATACATGACTATATAGTCATGTGTAGATACACATTATGGACAATATTTAAATAGTCTTTTACCTCGTCATTGTCGTTTATACAGACAACAATGTCGTTCGTTGGATATTTGTAAGACAACTTGATATGATTATCCGGTACATGTATTTTTTTATGATATGATTATCCGGTACATGTATTTTTTTAGACACCGACCAAGTATACATTATGCCCACATGCAAATTCAAAGTGCAATTGTTGTTAACATTCACCGACATATACTTCCAAACACCATTAACATTCCCTTGCAACCCTCCACTACGAAAGTATTATAATACTACCGTCATTTTGTGAATTATGGTTGATTCAAAGATATGTTAAAATAAAGGAGATAGAATGGATTGAGAGAAGAAGGGCGTGTTCGGCACGGAGCGTTTAGGAGCTTCTGAAAGCTACTAGCTTCTAGCGTTTGACAAAACGCTCCGTTTTGAACAGAAAACCTTGTTTGACACTACAAGCTTCTAGCGTTTAGTTTAAACAAAACGCTCCAAATCCAAAAGCTACTTCATGTAGCGTGTAACAAAACGCTACAAGCTACAAGCTACCCGCTAGTTTTGTCGAACACGCCCGAAACCTGAAATACTAATCTATCTATTAGGAAGTTATTTGATCAACAAAATAACCATATCACTAAATTAAAAACATTTCGTTAACGATAATACTTTTCTGAAAAGTATGAAACACAGGCATTGAATATTACAAATAACAAACAATATTATTACAAAACAAAAACATTAAGTAATTTAACATGAAAGAGCTTGTGTCGGCATCCGATATCTATATAGTTTTTAAGGGGAATTGGTTGTCTGACCGTAGGAACATGTGCTCTTATAGTAGGAGCGGGTGGTTGGACACATAAGGTGTACCACATAGATAATTACAGAAAAACGCGAGCAAGTTTGATCCGTATAGGTAACGCCACAACCATTTTTGCAACACTAAAGTTATTGCACACCATTTCATATCCCTCTCAAGATAGGACTAACATAGGGAAACCAACTATATATAGGCCTACTAGATGACTGAACAGTACGCGTAGAAGCTGGATTAGATCCTAGTGAATTAGGCCCCGTTTGATAGACATATTTCCATGTCCAAACAGATCTTTATGGCTGAATGGACCGAAAAGACTGTTTGATATGCACAAAAAATGGGTCTTTCCCGGTAAGATATGTCTTTCCTAGAAAGCTCAAAAATCATATCTTTCTGGCTGAATAGTCTGAAAAAACAATTGTGTCCGAAACTCCGCCTCTTTCATTCTTGCATTATTAATTTCTTTTAAATTATTTTTTTTAATTTCTTTTTTATTGAATTATTATATATTATTTTTAATATATAATATTTATGTATTAATTATTATTATTTTATTGGATTATTAATTTCTTTTAAATAATTTTTTTATTTCTTTTTAATGGATTAATTCCTTTGTTATTGGATTATTATATATTAAAAAAAATATTATTTATAAATATATAATATTTGTATATTAATAAATATTACTTTATTGGATTATTAATTTCATTTAGTTGATTTTTTTAAATTTATTTTTATTGAATTAGTTCTTTTTTTTTACAACACTACCATCATCCTAATATATTTTGAAAAAATTCATCCATTCCACCACTATCGGACATAAAGCAAGTCAATAATCACATGTTGAGTTATAAAAATAAAATTAATTGCTAGAAAGAATAACGACGTAACATTAACTTGAAAAAAAACTAAAAACAACTTAATCGACATTTTATTTGGATTTTAAATGATTATTGTGTAATTTTGATTTTATATGACAATTTGTATGTTTTTATAATTATTCGGCAACTTCATCCATCATAATATAGAACAACAGGTTAATATTGTCATTTTTCATCATTCAGCACAATCAATTAGATGTACAATCAAACAACATGGTTTCTTTCCCAGTCAGAAAACTCTCATACAACACTTTCACAGACAAAAACTATCAAACGGGACCTCAGTGGAACTATCATTCGAAGAAGGCGAATGTACTCATACCCTTGTGTGTAGATTTTCTACCTGTTTGCGATGTACACACTATTTTCGGTGATTACCATCGTAATTCTTTTAAATAGAGTTGGTCCAATCCAAGCGAATAAAAAGTTTAGCCCACGAGTCCATGGCAAGTTTCATAAATATGAAATTCATAACGTTTGCTTGTGAAAGATGGTAAAATTTATTCCTCCTAAATTAACAATACATATATATTTGTTATATATTTTTATTGATATTTTGTTGAGGTTTATCATGTCAATTTCTTTTTTATGAATTATAAATATATAGTAACTTTATTATATGATATCTTTATAAAGTAAAGGTACAACTATAAAAGTTATATAAAGCGTGACCACATAATCTATCGTCTATGTCATTACCTTGTTTTATTATCATGTCCCATTTAATTTTATGGAAACTTGAGGGTTATTTCTTTCTTTTTATCATCATTAAGTACTTTATGGATAAAAGTGAGCCAATGATAAAATGACCAAATAAATATTGTTATATGTTTTCTTTTCTAGATTGTATAAACCGTCAAAACAAGATTAAATAATTATCTTACCCTTACATTCATTCCAACAAATAATTTCCACAATATTCATCAATTTTAAGGTAATGGAAGTGAGGTAGAAAAAGGAATAAAGAAAAATAGATAAAACGGTTGTTGTATTAACACATTAATCCATCCATTAAGTCGTGTCTGTATGTGTAGGATCCAACCATAACAATATAACTTGTAACATGTATCATGTATGAGAATTGAGAAGCATCCCAATACCCAATACATCATATTCTTATACATGAATGGCAAACCTAATACACTTTAAACTTAAATCTTAGATTAACATCTTTAATTGTCATTTTTCTGCTGAAAAACATAACAATTTACATTAACTTTGACATTAAAAAAATTAACTAGCTGTAGATGGAGAAGTTGGGATCTTCCTAAAAGAACGATATTGTAGCCTAACCTTCTCTCCACTTTCAATAATATTTACAAGGTACCTGTGTACAAGTTTTAATTATTATACAAAAAGAAACATATTTTTTTTTTTATAATTAAACAGCAAATTCTACAATATACTAACCACCCATTAAGAGATTGTGAAGTTATGATAGCTTCTTTCCCAACAAATTTATCTGGTGTTCTCCTGTTTCCCTGCACAACAAGATTTTCTTTTAATTCAATATATTACTTTGTCAAAGAAATAATTTCAAAAGAATAATAATAAAATTAAATAAATATCCCACCTTAATAACAACCTTCTCATTTACTGAAAATGGATACTGTACACATCTATGGGACCCATTTTCAGAATTACCATCCCCATTTACCTGAAATCATTCATGCCATTTTAACTCAAAATAATGTATTTTTAGTAAAAAAATATATATTTATAATTATAGTGTTTTGATTATATAATATATACCCATCTGTCACTGACTTCTCTTCTTTGTTTTCGCATTGCAGCATTGTGAAAGAGCCTTCGATCATCCTCACGTTTAACAGCTCCAGCTGCAGCTCTTAAAGCTTTTCATAACATAAATAAATAAAAATCAAATTAAATTAAAATAAAAGGAGTTATGATTATAGATTATAGTAAGAAAGAAAACCAAAAAAAGGAAGTTACCATGATTAGGAATTAGAGGTGCAGTGCCAATTTCAGCATCACAGAGACTACATCTTCCCTGTGATGTAAACAAAAAGATAAAACTTATTATTTTTTTTTTTATAAAAAAGCTATACCAAAGTGGTTATTTATACTTTATAATACAATTTTCACCTACAGTTTCTATCACCCTCTTAAGCATCATGCCACCAAATGAATGCCCACAATGAACAAGCATAGCATCTTCAAGAAATGCACCACTAAATCAATAAAACACCAAATTAAATTAAAATCCAATATTCCAATCCAATCCGTTATATTTTATAAAACACAACAGTTTTGTAATAATGAAACAGCTTACGACAATGAATCTGATAGAACACTTCTCAATGACTGTTCCTTATTCGAAAACTTCCAAGCCGCCTGTGCATCCAGATTTATACAAAAAAATATAAAATTGGCAAATGGGTATTAATTATTATCAGAGAATTTGATATTTTGTAAAAAAAAAAAAAAAAAGATTGGCTTACAAAAACATTATCAGTTCCATTAGAAGGTAGGTCTTCATCAGCAGAAAGATCATCCATAAACTGGCTTACAGAGATTGGGACATAGCTTTGAGGGATGACATGCCCAGCTGACCTAATTGGAGAACAGTCTAATATGGCATTCCCTTGTGGCATCAGCCTAAATGCCAATGATGACCTATTTTTTATATATATAAAAAAAAAATACATTTTATTTCATAAATTATAAATTATAAATTATAATGATGTAGTAATATGGTTTAAGATGAATTCTACATACCTTCCAGCAGAAATGTGGTCTGTTGCAGCCCTATATGAAGCAGCAGGCCTAAGGCCAGCTGTTGCATGGCTGAGTGCCTTCCCTGTCAATAATAAAAGATCACCAGAATTTGAAACAATGTCTGCAACATACCATCTACCATTGGGATCACGAACCTATCAAATTCAAATCCATAAAACAACTAATGAAATGATTCACAGGACAAAGGATGAAGATGAAAATTGAATTCAAAAATATACCTGCAGACCAGGTGAATCTGAACTAACTAATGTTAACAATCCCTTTTCACTTTCATGATTTGTTGTTATGTTCCCTCCACCAATAGCACTTTTTCCCTTTTGCAATGTGGGCAAGTATGATGCAACAAGTATGGATGATGATGCCTCATTAGCAGGTAAAGGATTGTCATCAAGTAAATGGTTGAAAGCACTGAATTAGTGAGTAGATGAATATTAAGTGTAACTTCAAGTGCAATAAATGAATGCTTGAATCCATGATTATGGTTCTTACTCGCTTCTTAAACGAAGGTGTCTAGCTATTGCAGATAAAGCAGCACGAGCAACCTTTCCCATGCATCTGAAAACATCTGACATGCATGGTGGAGATGAATCCATGTCTTCTACAGCCCTGCCACATGACATTTAAATGTCTGTGATTCCATCATTACAACAACAAGATGCAGCAGCAGGAAGTAATAATGTGCATTAGCAGGACAGTTTTTGATGTAACATAAACCTCATTAGCAGGATCTAAGAAGATAATCAGAGAATTTCACCATTGAAAAATCGAGAAGAGACGTACCTTCCTGCCCTATACTTATAGACACCAGTAGTACCATTACTGCTGTTCCAATTACCACCAGTTTGAGCCCTAGTCCTGAAATACAACCTCGCCGATTCCAATCCACATCTCATCAATGCTCCATCATCAGTTCCTAATTCAATCACCGCCGCGTTGTGCCTCGTAAGCGAACCGGATAACGCCTCAATCGCTCTCAAATAAGAGTCGGTAGGCGCCCCGTCGTAAGGGATCAGGTCCGAGAGCCTTATTCTCGACAAAGGCGAAGATGTGGGCATGATCACGGCGGGTTCTCCGGTAGGGTGAGCAGCGGAAATTGGCGTAACAAGATGTCCTGGCAGTTGGCGATCGGAAGCAAGAGAGATCGGCGACGGGAGCTGTTGCTGCTGCATGTTGTTGTTCGTAGCGGTGGTGGTTGTATGTGATGATCTAAAAGAAGGAGGAGGAGAGCTTATAGGGAGCGTTTCAACAGTAGTTGCCTGCTGCTGATGATGTTGATCTCGACCATTAATCATGTCGGGTCGGGTTCTTCTCGTGCTTCAAATACCACCATTTGCGTTCTGAAGAAAGGGGTTTTAGTCTTTAGAGGTTTCCCGCTTCACTGCCGAGTTCCGCCGGACGAGAGCTGTGTCGCCACCGTTTTGGTATGTCGAAACACCCACTTGCCACGCCGATCGAAGGGTTTTTACTTTTTATTATAATATTTCTCTGGACAATATCTTAAGCATTTTTTTTAAACATGAGTAATGACCTAATTTCAATTTTGTTTTATAAAAAATTATAGATGTTTTGTTTCTTATGACATATTTTAACAATTTTAACGGCCTTTTTATGAATACAACAACCAATTGGGTGTTCTTTGATGTTTATTTAAGATTAAGATGCTATGAGATAAAGAATATAGTGAATAGATGGTCATTTTGCTACATTAGCTCTAAAAGATTGTTATAATGTGTATAAGCTACAAATCTAGCATTTCAGCTAATGCCTTTCTCGTTACTAGGGGCATTGCTTTAACTTCAACATTTTGGCCTTTTTGTAATGTCAAGGAAGAAGACGTGGATCATGTTTTTTATGGTACAACTTCTTAGTTTAGATTTGAAACCGGTTTTGTTCTTGGAGTGAAATGCTTTCCGTGTTGCCAAGTAAGGTGGAGCTGTTCAAAGTTTTGAATACTTCGGCTCAAGGAAAGAAGAGAAATAAGCCCAAAATTTGTTCCATTCCGTGACTTGGATATTTGGAAAGCCCGAAACTCCATGGTGTTCAACAAGAAGAGATGTTCTCCTTTAAAGACGACATATGATATTGATCAAGCATAAATCCGTTCTCCATTGTGTTAGTTGGTTTAGTTGGTGTATTTCCCTCTTTAATACTTGTACTTTGTAATCTTTTCTAGCATCTTGCTAGATTTTCTAATACATTCTCATTCAAAAAATAAATAAATGCCTTTTCCATTAATTCTAAAAACAAACATGCAACACCATCCCAAATTTATGAAAATCTTTAGAAATAGCCCATACCCGATCTCAAAATCATTTTGCCCGACCAAAAATTGAGCCCAAAAGTTTTGCGTTTTGTTTTTCCCATTGTGTTCGGGTATTTTTGTAGGAGTGACAATTCTCGAGACACCCGCGAGACGACACGAAAATAAACAGGTTTGGGTTGAGATTTCTAACCCGTCAAATAAGCAGGTCGTGTTCGCGTTAGTATTTGGGTTCACAGGTCAACCTGCCAACCCTTATAAAAAATTTTATTTTTATTTTTTCTTTTTCAAAGGGTATTACCACTTTAAAACAAGCTCCCCGGAGATGATTCACCATTTGTTGAAGACACGGAGACATCTTGCATTGCATTTGCAAGTGATTATGCATAACCCCTTCTTGGTCACCCTAAAATGAGCTTGAACTCAAGACTTCCCTTTTGAAAGATTCACCGTATAATATATTATATTTAAGTTATGCGACTATGTCTATCAACCTATGCGTGTTGCGTGTCCTAAATCAAACCAGCCCTCACTATTATGCAAATAATATTTGAGTTTAGGGTTTTGAGATTTACTTTGAGGTTTGATTTTGGAAATGGATGAGAAGTTTGTTAAAATTTAAACAGTACATCAAAATTTGGAACATATGATTTATGTAAGAAATATAAAAATAAATGTTTAAGTGTCACTTCATAAGCAATGTCTCATGATTGTCATCTACAAATGTATTAAAAATAACAAGTCAAATGTCATGTTTGCATATTTAACAAGTATATAAAAAATAACCCCTCAGCGGTTAAACATATTATATATTTGCCTATATTGAAAAAAAAAAACATAACTTGGTTGCTATTGTTGGTAAATAATTAAAATACATTGCCTATATTGGTAAAAATAATTTACCCAAAAATATTGTATGAACCGACATATTTCTAGTTAATTACAAAGAATATGACTTAATCACATTACAAGGCAACATTTCTATTGCTTCTTACCTTCATTTTCAAATCTTGACAGATTTAGAGGTAAGTAAATAAACAACCAACATTCCTTAATTACTTTCATGCCCCTGTCATTACACCACAAGATTTGATCGTATTCACATTCTTACCTACTTGTAAATCCATTCATTTGTGCGCCCTCCACTCTCATCCATGTCTATAAAGATGCTGACTGCCTACAGAAAGACCAAAGTACATTGCCTTAATGGATAATAAATGAGTGTTTCTTTTTAACTTAATACAGAATAAACGACTTAATGAGACATGACTTAATCTCTTAAGCTGTATATGAACATACCTTTCCAATCCGAGGTCGCTCTTTTAATTTTTCCAAACTGTTTCGAATATGAGAAACAGCTCCCCAACATTTCAATGTATTCGCCACGTCATCAAGCCTCAACAAGTACTCTTCTTCAGTCAGAGGAAAAGATCTCTGTCATGCCAATTGGATTTTTATCATTTTTTTGTTTTTTTTTTAAAATGCATTAATAGTTGTAAAGAAATAACATATCCTATTTACCTGTTCCATGTACTTCCACATGACATTCAATGCAAGGAGATTTTTACCCATGAATTCCTGCATCATATTAAGTTAAACATGTTTGAATTGAAATGTCAAAATCAAGAAATAGTCTACTCACAAGGGGATAAATAAAGCTTATACCTTCTTTATAAGCTGAACATCATATGATCGTCCGTATTTTTTCCTAATAAGTGTTGCAAGATCAATCCCAGAAAAAGCAGAATCATCTACACCGATAATTCTTTCTAGATTTTCTCTCAGAATTTCATTGTTAACCTGTAAATTAAAACTTCATATTCTCATCTTCATTAACAGTTGAAAAGTGGAGAGGGTATAAAACTTTAAATGTCAACTTACTGATTCAGAAGATTTGTCCTCATTTATATCATCATCAGAATCATTTGTATCTGCATCATCGTCCATTTTACTAGAACAAACAATAGGATGCCAACGTTTACCTATACAAGAACCATGTACAATGCACTGTTTCTGGAAAAAGAGTGATCTACTTCCAGAAGAACCTAGACCTGAATCACTGAAGCATGGAATTGGAAAGATACGGCATCCTACTTTCATAACATGATCTTGACCTCCTAAAGTCCAGGTACAAGGAAGACTGGCTTGAACGCCTACCATATTCTGCAAAAAATTTCATGGATGATTTTAAAGGTGAGATAAATGTTCAAGATTTTGAACACCACTTGTAGTTTGTGGAGTTATCATGTCAAACCTAATAGTTATCAAATGCAAAATCTATACCGAATATACTGCATACTTCACATAAGCAATTGCCTAATGCCTAATGCCTAATGCGAATTTCCAGCATTTGTAACTATTAAGCAGTCAAAAATTGAAAAGTAATCAGTAAATGCAACTCTATTTCAGATCAAGGGGATTGATTTCTTAGTTAAGCGGCTCGATTCACCTATTGTAACATTTCAAACACACGAGAAGCATTTGAATCAATAACACGTTCAGTATCAAAACTGAAACATAACTTTCATACACAGAAACGACGAACATAAATTCAAACCTACTGATAGGATTATTTAGATGAGTAAAGACCTGAAACGATGATTGGATGTCAGTAACTTGAATACGAAATTGAATTCGGAATCAGGAGGTGAATGAAATTGTAGGCGTTGGTGGTCATGGACAGGGGGAAGAACTGAGGACCTCAGCTTTGGAGGCGAAATGAAAGAAGAACGATCGATATTCGATATATATGTGATTATATGTGGTGAAGACTAAAGACGTCTAAGTGATCACGACCGTTAATACCACTAACTAGAATTTGCGTCACGCAATCGCAAATTTTAACGTCTGAGTTGTGCATATGATAGGGTAAAAAAAGAGGATTATTGACTTTTGTTTGACTACAAAACTCTCAAAATAATGATAGATATTATTTAATATACATATAATTATGGAAATCATTTAATATATATCTTTATTTAATTTTACTAAATTTTTATTGATGCATTCTAGCACACAATAAATATAAGAAAACATATTAAATTAACTATATATATATATATATATATATATATATATATATATATAATATATATATATATATATATATATAGGGAAGGGTTCTTTGAAAAACAAAAAAACCCTAAAAATCATAAAAATGCATAAAAAAATACCTAGACATTACAAAACTTTTTTTGAATTTTTTTTATCAAAAAATCACAGTTTTTTTGACAATTTCGCTGAAAAAAAAAATCAATCTTTTTTTTTTTGTAAAAAAAAAAAAATTTCAAATTTTTTTTCAGCGAATATATGTTAAAAGCTGCGATTTTTTGATAAAAAAATTCAAATTTTTTTTTGTAATCTCTAAGTATTTTTTTTTATGCATTTTATGATTTTTATGGGTTTTTTAGGGTTTTTTTGTTTTCCATAGAACCTAAACATATATATATATATATATATATATATATATATATATATATATATATATATATATATATGATTAGGTTCTATCGAAAATAAAAACTAGGGCATCAAGTTAGGAACCAATGAATAATTGAGACGTGTTACTTTATTTTTTAATGGGTGAATTTTACGAATGGTCCTTCTAGATTAGGGTAATTTGTGTTTTTGATTCCAAAATTATATATTTTAAATTATGGATAATTTGTAACCGTCAAACGGTTTTGGATCATGGGTATTCTAAGATTTGCAAAATCCAGTCTTAGTTGGACATGATTAACTGTCATCTGTTCAATTAATGGATCAATTTGTGCATTAAGAATACAAAAATACGACACAATCTTCTTTCTTGTTTATGGAGCCTCTAATATTTTCTTAGAAGAATAGAAATATATGAATACTATATTCGATATCGTAACTGCCGTTAATATAAACTATCTTAGAATTTATCCTTTAATATCCTCTTTGAATTTTTATTCTATTAACCATGTGTTTTTTTTGTTGATGAATAAAATCGCTACATATTCAAATAACCGCCTAATTTTTTGAATTAACAATCGTATAATTTACTACGGTTTCTAAGATGAAGGATAATATAACTTCCATTAATGCTTGATATTATTAATTAAGCAGTTTGAATTAAAACGGAAGTCATAAATTACAATTTCTTGAGATTTGTATTTATTCTTAAATATGTCAATCGAAATTCATGGGTTTAAAACGGAAGTGTATGTTAACTTCCATTAATTCTTTAAATTAACATTTATGTAACTTTCATCCGAACTGAAGTTGGAAATTACAAATTCTTGATGTTAGTTTTTAATCTTCAAATGTAACTGTAATTTCCTTGATCGTGGGTTTAAAACAACAATTAAAATTCAAACAACCATATTTTTTAAAATAGAAGTTAGGGATCATCTACGCAAATTATACCAAACCATACGAACCATTTGTGTAAGTCATGTTTTCATTGGTTAAATAGTTGTTGCCCTATTTTTTATATAACCTTTCCCATATATATATATATATATATATATATATATATATATATATATAGAGAGAGAGAGAGAGAGAGAGAGAGAGAGAGGAATGATCATTTGAGAACTCAAAGTTTCCCGAGAACCCGAGAACTAAAGGTGGAACGTTGGATCAAAAAAAAGAAGGATCGAGATACAAGGTGGCATTTTTGTAAATAAATAGACAAAAAAAGAAGGAGGGGTATCTTAATTAATTCAGTCAGGGGTATTATAGGAATAAAAGTATAATTAAATGATTTCTTAAATCTAATATCTGATAAAATAAATTTCCATCTCTCTCTTCTACCCGTTTTCCTCTCTCGCTCAAACCTACGATCCATCCTCCGACGACTCACCTTCGTCGAATAGCCTCCAACCTCCTCCATCATCCGCGTCGATCGCCTCCCTCCTCCCTTCACCGGCCACCTCTACCTCTGTCGACCGCCACACTCCTTGCTCTCACGTTCTTCATAGAAAAAAACTCCACTGAAGATGCTTTGATTTTGAATCGGTTTGTCCGCCATTATTGCACATCCGTTCTCCCTTGTTTCTCTATCATCATCGGACTACTCTATTACGATCGAGATCTCTCTTCTTCCTCTGTCGTTGCGCCTTCATCACCAGATATGTTTCTCCTACATATCTATCTGATTTGGCAAACGCCTTTATATCTATATCGATTTCTGATTTTTTAATTCAATCATGTTCGCTTCGATCTGACCTACTGCATTTACTTTCTGCGTATTGGAAGTCTACTAGATGAAACCAACACCTTTGTAAAAGGAGAAATAGAAGAATTAGGGAATTTTTTGATGATCGATAGAATATCAGATTGTTCTTCCTCTTAAGAACTCTATTCTGTGCAACTAGTAACTACTGATTAGATAACAGAAGGAGAAAATGATAAGTGTTCTTCATTTATTCTACCATTGCTTGTTTCCTATTTTCTTTCTCTAATCTTGAATATTGTATTAGTTTCCTTCACCTTGATGGATTTTCAACCGTTCAGAGTTGGAAAATATCTTTTGTTTGTTTTTAGCACACAACATGTTTGTTGAAATGCTTCTAAGAATGTTTTCACCCTTTACCTTTGTTAATTGTGCTTCTGTATTGGTAATTTCATCTCATTGACTATGGTTCTTGTGACCTGCCACCTAAGGATATTTCCAAATCAAATGATTGGCAAGATTTTGCTGACCAACTAATCACTAAAGATGATGCTACAATGCCAAATTAGGGAAATATTTGTTAACTATTAGAAGTTAACTTGGAAATCCTTATTTACTTTTTCTGTTAAGTCGTGCTTTATGTCATAAGTAAAGAAGAAGTGGTTTGTAAGATAATTTTGATCTGTTCTTATCTTAATTGTAGTTACAGGCCTATTTTTGGATTTGGTGGGGCTCTTTTAGAGTTTTGCACATTGGTAGCAACACTCATCTTATATTGACAAAAACCAATAGATTTCTTACTTGTATTCATCTTGATTTCTAGGTGTGTATCAAAATGGACACAGAACATGCGTCTGAATGGAATGCAACACAGAGTATCTTTATCAGTGAAGATTTTTTGACTACTGATAAGCTTCAACTGCAATTTCTTGCAGTTGTAGTCAGAAACCGTTTGCTTTATCAAGGCCAGACATTGCAATGGGCAATCTATAGGTAACTCAACTGATTATTACTTTTTTAGTAACAAAAACTTATAATTTAATGAAAAAAAACTAATTTTAGGTACAATGCATGTTGGCTTCCATTGCTTGCTAAACATTCAGAGTCTTAAATCACTGAAGGGCCTTTAGTTGTTCCTCTTGATTGTGAATGGATTTGGCGTTGTCATAATCTTAATCCGGTATATGATTATGAAACAAATACTCATTTTTCCAATGATAATTTCTGTAAAAAACTTTATGTTCTTGATATATTTTTTTTACAGATTAGATACAAATCAGATTGTGAAGAATGTATGTGTGATGTGTCACAAATATCATTCAAAATTTTCTATTCAGGTTCCTATCAAGCTATAGTTGTAAGAGCTTTCTACAATTGCAGATTTCTTAGATTTCAGGTAATTCTCACATAATATCAAAAAGTTTATATAGAAAAATGATGATGAATAAATAGATTTACATGTGAATCACTTGTGAATCACTTGTGACACATGTGAATCATTTGTGATTTACATGTGAATTACATGTAATTCACATGTAAATCATGTTAATTATTTATTTTTTCTAACCATATAGTTTATTTTAATTGCTTCTATATTAAGCTTCATAAATTACTTGTGATTTACATGTGAATCACATGTAATTCACATGTAAATCATATTAATTATTTATTTTTTCTAACCATATTGTTTATTTTAATTTGTTTCATTTTAGCAATATATCACAAGTAAATCGCATATGAATTACATGTGATTCACATGTAAATCACAAGTGAATCACATGTCACAAGTGATTCACATATGAATTACATGTGATTCACATGTAAATCACATGTGATTCACATGTAAATCACATGTAATTCACATGTAAATCACAAGTGAATCACATATGAGTTAGGTGTGATACATATGTAATTTACGTATAAATCACATGTAATTCACAAGTGATTCACATATGAATTACATGTGATTCACATGTAATTCACATATGAATCACATGTAAATCTTATATGATATATGCATGCAAATTTTGTGAGTGTTCTTGCATTAATCAAATTTTTTTAATTTTCTTGTAGATTTTGAAGAATTTGTGGAAAATATTGAAGAGGTGAAAAGTGATAAATTGAAGAAAATATGAAAATCTTGATATGACGAAATGATAACATTGTGAATCTTCATAGCATTTTTTTTATTTTTTATATTTTATTTTGTATCGAATAAAATACTTGTACTATTATATTTATAGATTGATTAATAAAAATGAGATTTTTTATGATTTACTTACGAAATATATGCACCTAAAATGTTGATTTTTTTTGTTAAAAAAATTAGAGTTTTTTTTAAATATTCTAGTTTTTTATATAAATTTACTGATTTTTAAAAATTTATATTTTTTTAAAAAAAATGCAGCTTTATTAAAAAAGTTGCACTTTTTTTGAAAAAAAATTGCAGTATTTTAGAAAAAAAATGCAGCTTTTTTGAAAAAATTACAGTTTTTTTTTTTTAAATTACTGTTTTATTAAAAAATTTGCAGTTTTTTTAAATACAATTTTTTTTTTCAAAAAAATTGCAGTTTTTTATTGAAAAAATTGCAGTTAAAAAAAAATCAAATTTTTTAAGAATTTATGCTTTCCAAAAAAGTTAAAAAAGTCTGTAGTTTAAAAAAAAACGAAAATTATTTTTTTTTATAAAAAAATCCAAAATTTTGTTTTGTAATGTT